GAGACTGGTTTTGTTGTTATGTGCTGTTGAGTCACTTCTGACCCTTAGTGATCCTATGTACAGCAACTCTGAACCCTGTCCTGTTCTGAGCCAGTCTCACTAATTCTGACACACCAACCTCAATTGTGCCAGTGACTGTATCAATCCATCTCATCCGGGTCTTCCTTTCCTTTCCTGTCCCACCACCCTTCCAAGAATGATGTCCTTCTTCAAGAACCATTCTCTCCTGGCCACATACTCTAAGTATGTGAGACAGAGCTTCAAAATCCTAGCCTCCAAGGAGAGACTTGGTTTCACCCTTTCCAAGACAGACCTATGTATTTTCTTGGCAGCCCATGGTATATTCAATACTCTTCTCCAGCACCACAATTTGAAGGCATTGACTCATCTTCTGTTATCCTCAGTCATTGTTCAGCTCTCTGACTAGTCCTTGGAAAAAGACATTATGTGCAGAAAGGTGAAGAGTCAGAGAAAGAGAGGAAGACCTCAACAAGATGGATTGATGCAGTAACCATAACAATGGGCTCGCTGGAGTATATCAAAGATCATAAGGATGGTGCAGGATAGGGCAAGGTTCAGATTTGTTTACTATTATTTGGTTACTATGAGTAAAAGTTGATTTGATGACACTAACAAAGATTACCACACCTGGCTAACTAGCAGCATCATAATGATCGGAGACAAGATTGAGATTGCTAACAGCTTCAGTTTGCTTGGCTCCACAATCAACACTCTTGGTACCAGCAACCAGAAAATTAAAAGACAAATTGCATTGGGAAAACACATGGTAAGAGTACTAAAGAGCAATGGTGAAAGTCTGAAGAATAAGGTCTTTACAATTGTCTGCTATGAATCAGAGAGCTGGACAATCACTAAGGATAATAGAAGAATTGATGCCTTTGAGTTGTAGTGCTGGAGAAGAGTATTGAATATACTATCAACTACTAAGAGATCAAACAGGTTCATCCTGGAGAGAGTGAAAACAAGCTACTGCTTGGAGGCAAGGATTTTGAAGCTCTGTCTCACATATTTTGGGCATGTTGCTAGGAAGGACCAGTCCTTGGAGAAGGACATTATGATTGAAAGAGTGGAGGGAGAACACAAGCGAGGAAGATCCCAGGTGAGATGCATTGACTCCGTAACTGAGGTAATGGGTAGTAGGTGTGTCAAAGACAAGAGGCTGGCTCAAGATAGAGTAGGGTTCAGAGCTGTTGGACACAGAATCGCAATGAGTCACAAGCAACTCACTGGCACATAACAGCAACAACTTCTAAAAAACTTGACAATTCTGTGGAGCATTCTTCTACTTTGATGCACGGGTTTGCAGTGAGTTGGAATGGGAGCATTCTTCTACTTTGATGCACGGGTTTGCAGTGAGTTGGAATGATTCAACGGCAACTCGAAGTGAGTTATGACAGGGGAGAGGATCATATCTTTAAATCAGAGCAGAGGAAAATAATCTATTTACAGGGACACAGATGAAATCTGTACATGTATCTATCAATTAGCAGACTTGATAAAAGAAATGAAAATAGTTCCTTTTTGATTCAGAATATTGTGAGAGGCAGTCTAATGAGATGAGTGAGAGCTGGATTCTAATGTCACTAAAAGGTGCAAAAGCAGTTTCATTCAAGGACTAATTACGGAAATTTTAGGAAGTAACCTAACTTTTCTCTTCCTCAGTTATTATTTAGTAATATTACATAAGAAGTTGTTGTTAGGTGCCCTCAAGTCAACTATGACTCATAATGATCCAATGGAAAACAGATCTGAGCTTTGCCCTATCTTAGGCCACGCTCACTGTCTCTGAAATCTCAAGCTATTGTTAAATTTACTGTGTCGATCCATTTTGCTGAGGGTTGTCTTCTCTTTCTCTACCCTCCACCTTCTCCAACATGATGTCTTGTTTCCAAGGACTGGCCACTCCTAATAAAACACCCAAAGTATGTGAGGGGAAGTTTCATCATCCCTGTTTCTAAGGAACACCCCGATTGCACTTCCTCCAAGAAAGACTTGCTTGACTTTTTTTGGCAATCCATAGTTTACTCAGTATTCTTCTCCAATACTACTACTCAAAGGCATTGATTTCTTCTTCAGTCATCCTTATTCATTATCTAACCAGGATTGCAGGAACACTCATCAACAACCTGCGCTATGGAGATGACATAACTTTGTTCACTGAAAGTGAGGACTTGATGAATTTGCTGCAGAAAGTCAAGGACTGCATTCTTCAACACGGACTACATCTCATCTCAGAAAAAACCAACAAACATATTTTTTTCACCACCAGGCCAATTGGCATGACAGATGGAAAAAGACTGAGGTTGTTAACAATTTCATCATGCTTAGATCCATAATCAACACTCTTAGCACTAGTAGTAAGAAAATCAAAAGAAAAATTGCTTTAGGGACGTCTTCTTTCTGTCAGGGACCACTCCAGAGTGCTGAAGAGCAACAATGTCAGTCTACAGACTAAGGTGCACCTGATCCAGACCATGATCTTCTCAATTGCTTACTATGCATCTGAGAACTGGACAATGAAGAAGGATGACAAAAGACGAACCAATGTCCTTGAGTTGTGGTGCTGGAGAAGAGTATTGAATATAGAATGCCAAGAAAATAAGTAGATCTGTCTTAGAGAGGGTGAAACCAGCTTACTTCTTGGAGACAAGGATTTTGAAGCTCTGTCTCACATACTTTGGGCATGTTGCTAGGAGGAATCAACCTTGGAGGACACCATGCATGGAAGGGAAAAGGGAGAGGAAGATCCTGAATGAGATGATTGATACAGTTACTGTGGCAATGAGGTCAGGTGTGTCAGAGACAGTGAGACTGGCTCAGGATAGGGCAGGGTTCAGGAGCTATTGTTCATAAGGTCATTAAGAGTTGTAATCAATGCAAACACACATAACAAGTTCAAATTGAAATTGAAAGAAGAAGTTGCTAAGAGGATTTAGTATTTAATACATAATAAACAGTCAAAAATGTTAACTATCATTTCCTCAGCAAAATACGTAGATCATCAGCTTAGATTAAGGAAAAAGAAGAAGATGAGGAAAGAGAGTGAAAGTCTTCTTGAAGAACTGGAAAGTGAGTGTTTACAGATCATAAAGAAAGTCAAAACAATTGTGTGGCTTTTTTTCCCTCTACCACAGTCAGCTACCTGGATGCAGACACAATTAGGTTAGTGATTACCTGCTATCCTTGCCTCCTAGGATCCCCTGGTGAGCTTTCAAAACTTCCAGTCATACATTTTACTGAATGTAAGGGGTTCTATCCATAGTCAATGGCCAATAAGACAGACGGATTGCAATAACCAAAGCACTTTATTGTAGATCTGAGAGAGCAGAGAATCTTCTAAAGAATAGCCTCCCCATCTAGGGGTTTTGTTTATCCCAGAGAGTCAGAACCAATCTATGGTTGATCCTCTGGGAGGTTTTCAGAGGCAGTTAATCAGATGGAAAGAGATTGTCCATCCTTCTCCAGTGGACCAGCTGGTGGATTCGAACTACATGCCATTGGTATTGTAGTGCAGCTTCTTGTCATTAGAGCAGCCACAGGTTTTTATACATGGAATAGATGTTAATATAGTTCAAAGTTAGAAGATTTTTACATTAAAAAAAAGTAGTTCACATACAGTTACTAGGAAACAAACAACTTGTGATGTAGATTACATATGACTGAGAAAATACTGTTTCAAAAGATAAATATTAATCCAGGAAAGATACATTTCCCCTCCTGATAAACAGAGAGCTAAGATACAATTTACATATGTTGCTGTTATGTGCCATCATAACGACCTATGTACAACAGCCTAAACCCTGCTCTACTTCAGACAGTTCTCTATTTATGTGCTGTTCCAGTCATTTTTGGAGAATCTTCAGTAGAATCTTGCTTGCATGTGATATCAATGATACTGTTTGATAATTTCCACATTCTGTTGGATCATCTTTCTTTGGAATGGGAACAAATATAGATCTCTTCCAGTTAGTAGAATATGACTGAGAAAAATATTTTTTAAAAAGTAAATGCTAATTATTTTTTTTTAAAGTTAAATGCTAATCCAGTAAAGATGGATTTCTCCTCCTGGTAAACAGGCAATTTAAAGTACTTTACATGATTAAAGAAGGAGAAGTAGGGTTGGGGTGGGGGAAATGGGGAGGTGAGGTAAGAAAGAGAAGTAGGGTTCTAGGGCAAAAGAGCCGGTTTTGCAGGCTGGAGGCAATTGATGTCTTCAAAAGGAATATCCTTAGATCTGAAATAACTATTTGTTTAAACTATACCATATGCTTGAGTAATCCTAAGCTTATTAATAACATCCTATTTTATAAAACACAATGGAGGGGAGCTCTGGTGGCCTAGTGGCAAGAGGCTGCATTACAAACCCAGAGGCTCACGGTTCGAATCCACCAGATGCTCTGCCGGGGAAGGAGGAACAATTTCCTCCTGTAACAGTCAGATCTGATTTGACAGTACATACACACAAGAATAATAAAATAAAATTAAAATTTAAAAAAACCCGAGATCCAAGATGGCGGCGGAGGCAGAGACAGCGTGGTGAGCTGCAGAAACAGCTAACCACTTAAAGCAGGGCCATTATGGCTTTCCACAGACTTTGTCTTATTGATAATTGAACACATAAACAGTTGATAACTGGTCCTCAGTGAAGATCGAGGCTCAACAACAGGAATTCAAGGATTCCCAAGGAGGAATGGGTGAGTCTCATGGCTCCCAAACCACCCCCCCCCCTCGCAGAGCCCGCTGCTGCGCCACACAGCCACTGCAGCTCCATGAGGCTTCCACAGCCAGAACGAATGGATTCTCTCACCCAGGATGGATGCTGGGCACCGGCCCTCCTCAAGACTGGTACAGTGAAGCCACCACACTGCCACAAGGTAGACTTGTTCTGGAGAGAATTCTTGGAGCCAGGATGGCGGCTGTGGGGGAAGTGGGTGCTTGCTGGCCGCCGAGCGCCCGTGCAGCGGGGTGGGGGGGCGCACCCCCAATGGCCGCCCGTGCTAGGGGAGAGCCGCGCACCTCCTGCCGGCCTCCCGCGCTTGGGGGGACATGCGCCCCACTGGCCGCCTGAGTACAAGGTGGGGGGATGGGATGCATGCCCGCCATCTGCAGGTTTGGGTTTCCTTGGACAGGCCAAAGAAGATGATTATCTTTACAATGGATTGCTGAAAGTCACTGTGAGTCTGATGACCTTAACAGTGGCAGCACACACAAGAGGACAGACATCCTAAATGCACAACATATTTTGTTCTATTGAATGCTTCTGCCAAAAGATGGTTAGACCTCGGGGAAGTCTGTTCACAATTCTCAGGTTCCCTTTATCATATATAAAGGGGGAGGGCAGTGACACCTACTTCAAAATATAGTATGACCACTTATGGGGGGGGGGGTAAAAGTGGCAGTGCTGGAATTGGAAACACTATCCCTGACCACAGAGTCCTCAGTCAGGCGAGGGGACCAGACTGGGGTAGGGGCAATTGGAGGGGGAGTATACCAGCCAGCTCCTGGGGGGTGTTGCCCTGTTCAGGGAGGGCTGCCCTCGGCCCCTGACTCAGGGCGAGCCGTCGCGGTCCTCAGGGTGAGCTCCTCAGTCCCCAGATTGTGCCATCTGAACCCTGGGTGGGGAAGGGAAAAAAAAAAAAGAATGCCTAGGGTATCCAGAGAATGTTACCTAGGCCACCTTCTGCCACCGACCCCCCCCCCCAGTAAACCTGAAAGCAACACCCTCAAAGCGCTTCTATTTGTAACTCACAAGTTTGTTCTCTCTAGGTTTGCTCCCTTTCCTATAGGTAACCTTAACTCTGAGTTTTACTCCAGAATTGACCCTGAACTCATTGGCAGTGACAAAAAGGAGATACAACTGACAGCTACGGAAGCAAAGGAGGATGGAGCCTCTGGGTTCAACCAACCATCCCCACTGCACCCACCTGGGAAAACACTTTGCAGTCCAGAGGAGAGAGCAAATGACAGGAAAATATCTTCTAACAGAGCAAGAAGGCAAGCAGCTTTAACCCAAGACCACCAGGAAGGTGATAAAGCGTCCTCCCTTCCCCCTTTTACATCTGCGCCCCTGTTCAGCATGAAGAAGCCAGAGAGTCGGCATCTAATTCCCAAATCAATAAGACAGTTGGTTTAATTACCATTGGAAAATGCTTGTCATTCCTCTGTAGCATCTGGTCCCCACTGGATCCTTTTCATTTCCTTCACCTGCTCCCCCCACCGACCAAATTGTGCAGCTCTGCAACTGCATCCTGGCCCATCCTCACCATTCTGCCCCCAACTCTCACCTCCTTGTACCCCCAATATGTTTTTCCCAATTAAAAAAAAAAGAAGATAGGCATATAATAAGAATTACTCAAGTGTTTTCCTAGGCCATTGTTAGAAGTGCTATAATAAATAGTTCTGTGGTCCTAAAAAAAAAACCCCAAAACCCACAATGGACCAGAATGATTATGCAGATGACACAATCTTGCTTGCTGAAATTGAGGAGGACCTGAAACACCTACTGCAGAAGGTCAAGGACTATAGCCTTCAATATGGATTGAAGCTCAACATCAAGAAGACAAAGATTCTCACCATTTGACCAATTGGCAGCACCATGACAGAGGGAGAAGATTTTGAGGTTGTTAACAATTACAGCTTGCTTGACTTCACAATCAACACTGTTGGCACTGGCAGTCTGGAAAATCTGCTGACAGGGACCTCTTCAGAGTACTGAAAAGCAATGTCAGTACAGACACTAAGGTACGCCTAATAGGCCACAGTCTTCGTAAGTACTTGTTACACTTTAGAGAGCTGGACAATGACCAAGGATAACAGAAGAAGAATTGATGCTTTTGAGTCTGATGCTGGAGAAGTGTCTTGAACATACCATGGACTGCCAAGAAAACAATGAGGTCTGTCTTGGAGAGGGTGAAATCAAGTTTCTCCTTAGACACCAGGATTTTGAAGCTCTATCTGACATACTTTGGACATATGCCCAGTCCTTGGTGAAGGACATCATGCTTGGAAGGACAGAGAGACAGCACAGGAGAGGAAGACTCTAGATGCAATGGATAGATACAGTAACTGGGCTATGGAGGTAGGTATGTTGGAATCAGTAAGAATAGCTCAGGACAGGGCAGGGTACATAGGATTGCTAAGAGTTACAGGTGACTCTACAGCACATAACAACACAACAATTGAAGGTAAAAAAATGTCCAGAGTGTTCAGAAACACAGGCTAAACTTATTCATAACAGTTTATTGAATATTCGTAAGAGTTTATTAGATACTTCGCATAATAGGTTCAATATCATTTTGTTCATCATCCAAACAAGTCTTCAAAAGGAGTATCTTTAGATGTGAAATAACTGTTTGTTTAAAAATATATATAATTGGCCTACATCGCAGGTTAAGAATTAGACTTATTGCTTTAGAGTATTTTAGTTAGAAACATGAGGAACATCTCATTTCAAAAATATTAAATAGATTATATAAAAATAAACTTCCTTTGCATTTCCCTACTTTACAGATGTTGTTGCATTGTTGATTGTCTTCTAGTCAAGAACGACTCATAGCAACCCTCTGAACAAAAGGCCTAAAGCCCCTCTACAACTATTGACATTTATCATAGTTCATAGAGTTTCCGAAGACATGTTGTATGTGAAGTGGACTTTATATTAAAAAAAGTCTCAGACCAATTTTCATATCCTTATTTTTAATGTTTAGCACCAAATTGAGTTTACTTTCCTACAAAGAGAGGATTTCATAGGGAAAACATAGAAGAAATGTGAATAATATATTATTCATGGTAAAGGATTCATTGTAAACAAAAAAAACACTGCTTCAAAGGACCATACGTTCAATAGAGGAAATAATTCCATTACATAGGTTTAAAATTTCAGTCTTTATTCTATTTTTAATTTTTTTTCTTTTTGCATGTGCTTCTTTTATATTTATTTGCTCCCTTTATTTTGTCCTCTTGTTCCATGTAAAGTATTTCCTATTACTCAAACAAAGCACCATTATTAAAAATAACAATTTATAAATAACAACATTCTGGATTTAAGACTGAGCTTTAAGGGAAAACTATCTTACCCACTTGCTTCAATTTCAACATCTCTGAAATGAATGTAATACTAAATTATTTCTAACTTTCTGTCTAGGTTTATTGTTCTATGAATTTATACTTAAGAGTATTTACTACAAGGGGTTTTTTATGTCAAACTAGCTTATGCATCAGAGAGTTGGACAGTGAATAGGGTTGATAGAAAGAGAATTGATGCCTTTGAGCTGTGGTGCTGGAGAAGAGTGTTGAATATACCATGGACTGCTAGGAGAACAAACAGGTTTTTCCTGGAGAGGGTGGAGTGTTGAATATACCATGGACTGCTAGGAGAACAAACAGGTTTTCCTGGAGAGGGTGAAGCCAGAATGTTCCTTAGAGTCAAGGATTCTGAAGCTTTGTCTGACGTATTTTGGGCATGTTGCAAGGAGGGACTGGTCCTTAGAGAGGGACATCATGTTTGGCAGAGTGGAGGGGCGGCGAAGGAGAGGAAGACCTTCGATGAGATGGATCGATTCTGTGGGTGGAGTGGTGGGAATGAGTGTGTTTGAAATGGCTAGGTTGGCACAGAATAGAACAGCGTTGAGAGCTCTTGTACATAGGGTCGCTATGAGTCACAAACGACTCGATGGCACATAACAACAACAACAACAACAATAGCTTGAAATACTGGGTCAAATTACAAATTAATAAAAAGTCATTAATTGAGGTCAAAGGAAGGGTAGAGTTCTACATAATTTTAAAGTTCCTGGATTATCATTAAAACAAAGTAACTGTTGTCAGGTGCTATTGCGTCAGCTCCAACTCGCATGTCCTAGAAAAGGTGCAGCCTGAATGCTCCATGGAGGTAAGGATGGCAAAGCCTTGTCTCTTATAATTTGACATGTTGCTAGGAGAGGCTATTCCATGGAGAGGGACCTCATGCTTGTACATGTGAAGGCTCAGTAAGAGAGGAAGACTCCCAATGTGATGGATTGACACTATGACTGCAGCAATGGGGACAAGTGTATCAGAGATGACGATGATGGCACAGGATTCAGATCTGCTGTCTATGAGTCCTACTTGGCTTGATGGCACCTCTGTGGCATCAAAGCTTTATCATTCAAGTATCTTTCCTAGTCAATGATTAACTGTTTATTTTGTGCTGAAGTATTTATTGGAGACAGGCTTAAACTAGGATACAAGCCCCACTCTACTAGAAGCTATGTAAGCACGTGAAACCTCAGTGCTTAACTCTCTTTTCAGGACTCGTATGTGTTAAACCAATAACAGTGTGTAGGGCAAGGCATCACAGAAGTGACTGGTGATCATATTGAGAGGAGGTTGGGGAAGGGACAGTTTGATGAGGTAGCCAAGTGCACAAGGAATGGGGAGGTAGCAGGGAAAAGGTAGAGACAAGTCACACATGGTTGGGGTGGGTGGGCAGTAAATGTATTAGCTATTTCTGTAAGGGAAGTGTCTTCCATCTGCTAGGTAAAATACTCGTCGGTCATATATCATATATTCTTCTAACAGTGAACATCCAAGTTAAGACAGACTAGGAAGAAGGATTGGCCATCCACTTCTGAAATATAACTGACCTTTGAAAACCGTATGGACTGCAGAGCACACTTAGATTAGAATAATAGATATGGCAACTGAAGTTGAGCCCTCAAAATAGAAACACAAAGGAGGAGAAACAGTTATAAGAAAAAAATTAACAATTGGTACATGGAATGTGGGAAGGATGAATGTAGGAAAACTGGACATTGTAAAGAAAGAAATGAAACATATAAATATTGACATATTGGGTATTAGTGAAATGAGACAGATTGGCATGGGACATTTTGAATCCCAAGATCATATGATCTGTTATGGTGGAGACAAAAAGGTGAGGAAAAAATGGGGTCGCTTTCATAGTTAAAAAGACCATTTCTAAGTCCATCTCTAAATACAGTACTGTGAGTGACAGGATAATATCTATACACATAAAAGGAAAACCTGTTAATAATACTATCATTCAAATTCATGCGTCTACAACTGGAGCCAAAGAGGAGCAAATAGATGATTTCAACTGTTGT